CAAATCCGCGATTTTTAAAAGCTGATGAAACACGATGGAAAGCTCCACCTTATAGGTCTTTTTTAAATTCCAGTATTTCATTGACGATGCTCCGGCGAAATATTTTCAATTTATCTTTAATAATCAAAATTTTAACGATTCTAAAATTCGAAGTTACTATAGCGTACTCGGATAATTAATCAAAATAATTAAACAATGGGTACACAGGAACATGCAGGATATGAATTAATTATCAGTTTTATTTAATATCTGAGATAAAATGAAATAAATTAATAATATCCGTGAAAATTTTGCGACAAAATTAAACAAAACAAATTAACAATGGTTGATTCTATTATTCTTATTATTCTAATAACTATTCTATTCTAATAATTATTCTAATAACTATTCTATTCTAATAATTATTCTATATATTATAATTATTATTTCTAATAATTATTCTATTCCATAATAATTATTCTAATAATTATTCTACTCTATAATAATTATTCTAATTCTAATACAACATTTAAGTTTCTTAATTATTATATCTCACATAATTTTCCAATTGTCAATACTACTTACTGCTGTTATAGAACATCTATGTCATATAATTATTGTATTACATTACTATAATAACATATTATACGAACAATATTTGTAAATTCGTATTATTATTAACGTACAACGTACTATGGCAATTTCATACTGAATAACTGCAAATAGATTTCATTTTAAAAAATTAAATAAAAACTTCCTATATTTATATGCAATATTATAATTAGAAATATACCGTTCATGTGATAAAATGTTCACATAACGGGTGTTCATACAATGCAGGTTTTACTATAGTTAAAAAAATTGGTTTACGTAACATCATCATAAAGAAAGCTCGAAAGGACCTGGATCCAAAGGACCTGGCGTTGACTGAAGAGAAGATCCTTGAAGTAAATTATGCCAGTATACATATAGTACATAAATGTGCTACATATACCTATTTCGACCAGTCCCTGTTATAAAAGATGCCTTTTCTGCATCATTTGTAACATAATAAAATAACAAATAGGATCATCCTTGAACCTCTATAGGATTCTTGGAATGATTCTGGCTAACCCATGTGAATAATTAATTCGTTCGACGCGAAGCTAGGAATTCTAATTTGCCTGGCAAATATATTCGGAACGTGGGTCTGTGTTGTGCATAATACACGAAATAATCTTGCGGAATTCGTGAATAATTCACGGGTTTCAAACATTTATGCCAGACCTCCCCGCCAATTACTCTGTTAATCTTCTTTAGACTTACAGCTGAGTTTAAACGAGTATTTCAATTATTACTATTATCCTATATTCACCTGTTTTTATTCGTAAAAGAGACAAAGTATAAATGGAAATCACGATGACGTAAAATGTTCCAAAAATTTTCCGATTCCAACGATAAAGTTGTTTTATAAATATTTATTGAGGAAATGTTTACACGAAATTAACACACAGCAGTTTTATTACGTTTAAATGGACAAATATTGTAGTAAAATCTTGCAACATTTCCACTCCTACCATTTATTTCCATTTATTTTTTTATCGATTCTTCGATCGTTGAAAAATAAATGAAATCAATGAATAAACAAAATCGTGTCGAAACGCGAAGGAGGAACGAGTTGCTATTTTAATTTGTTAAAAAAGTGGGCGAGAAACAGGAAATCGCATGTTTGAACGAGTGTCAAATAGATTTCATTGTTTCATGAAAAAGGTGAAAAATGGGGAAGAAAGGGGGAAATTTGTTGGAAAGTGGAGCACATGTAAGAGATTCCGGAAATCCTACAGGTGGTTGCGGATCAATTCGTCTGGCCAAGGAATGTCGAGAATAAGTTTTGCGATTAGAAAACTTCTTTGAAACCACTGAAACGTATTATATATTATATTCACTGTCGAATAAAATTCAGTCCATAGAGAGCTGTTCAACTCCCAATACACGAATTTCCATTTCCATTTCCATTTCAAAACTACATATCTCTAATTCTCTCTAATGTCTATTTTCTCTCAAAATCATCTGACAGTGATCTCAATTTTCCTTCCAACGTCCATTATCTTCACCTTTATTAACACTAAACGTACCGATACTTTACACACACTTATTCCTACCATAAGGGGTCAAATGACCCCTCGTGGTACATAAGGTATGCAAATAATTTTTGTCGGTAAAAAATAAATTAAGAGAAAAACGGAAAGCGTGAAATTAAACAATCAGATAATATAAGAATTTACAGAAAGTCAGATGAGCGAAGGAAATAACAATAAATGTACAACTGAGCCGTTCACTGCACAAATTCATTAACTCCATAAAACAAAAAGTGGAGAAATGCAACGAAATAATGTATATTGTTTTTTTAAAATTCCCTTTATGATTTAAATCGAAATAAATATTGTAGAATGCATAAATACAAATATAACTTTCATCTAACGGAATATAAAATTTATAAGAAAATATAGCCAAAACGTAATCGTTGGTAATTTTACCATTTTTATGTTACTGGAAGAGTTAATCGATTTGGCAAGTGAAAAAAGTAATAAATTTAAATTTTACTAAATTTTACTTAAATTTTGATAAGACAGCACTGAAAAATTCACCGTTATCATTCATGGCTTGCTAGTGCATTTGAGTTGCATTATTGCAACGATGTACATTAGAATACGGAGTTAATAAAAGTGACCTGTGAAATAAATTATTTATTATTCAATGGCCAACAAATTTTTGTCGTTTAACGGCGTTAATCTTAATTGTCAGGGAAAGTTATTATAAATATAAGAAGTTATGACTGTATCAAATACTTTAATACTTCATTTTCAGATTTTTCAAAACGTGGAGTTAATCGATTTGTGCAGCGAACGACCCAATTATAAAGTAAATTTTGAAAAGGGCCATTGGACCTCGTTTGGTATGTTTACTGTTAATACTATATTTCAAATTTCTACAGAATTTCGGAATCTAAAATAAATATCCTGAATTAGAAAATTAGATAATTTTACAAATCCCAAGTTTAACGATAAGTATATATAATTCCCATTTTTCTTTTTCCCTTATTTTCAATTTCTTCCATCGCAAATCTGAATAATCTGGATAATTAAAAAATTTTTAATAAATCCATCAATTCCACTTCGGCGCATCAGTATTGACCCTTTTCAAATGCATTTCACACCTACATCCTCTAACTTCCAATTTCATTAAAATTCCAAATAATTGGAATATTACCCTCTATAGCGTAATCCAAGGTTCATACAAATTTCCGAGATTTCTCCTATCAAGCATGGCGATAAAGGTCGTTCGATGTTGAAACGAAAATCCAAGTGAAGCATTACGAGTGGCCGGTATGGCTAGTATCGATTCCAAAACGATGGTACATCAAAGAGGTACAAGTTACACGAGCCCCAAGTGTTTCCTGTTCCGGCAGTATCGGTTTAATTAGAATGGGCTTCGAAATTAACATGCTCGCGTCTATTGGGCCACCAGCAACTTCGTAAACTCAATAAATCGCTCCTTTGACCGAGCAGGCTACTTTTCACCAAGGAGGGGTACAATAATGTAGAGTGACCAATTTTGGACACCACTGTCAACGTTCAATTTTCGCTGCATAAGTATCTACAAATTTTAAAAGACCTGGGAAGCCTAATTACTTGGACCACCTGATCAGAGGTTGAAATGAAAAAGACCCTGATAATGTCGTAAGAAAATTTTTCAAACTTCAAATATATATCTCCTTGACCAGTTAAATATTTTTTCCGTGAGTTCAGGTTCCAATTCTGCTTCGGATAATTAATTAGACCTATAAACAAAGACTCAGGAGCGTCGTTATGAAAGGGGCCCTGATAATATCAAAAGAAAATTTTTCGAACTTCAAATGTGTATCTTCTTGACCAGTTAAATATTTTTTCGACGATTTCAGGTTTCAGTAGAACCTTCACATCACTTCAAATAGATAGTTAATTAGACCTGTGAACAAAGATTCAAGAGCGTCATTCTTATCTGAAGCGGATTTACAGACTGTCTCTTTTGTACTCGCTGAATCTATTTCTCACCCCTTTCTTGCAATTTGTCAAACTACTGCTGAAATTCCTCGGTAAATCTTCCCCAATCGCCTTATTACTTGTCTTCCTATAATGTGTAATTTCACAGAGCAAAAGTAAAGCAAACGTGAGGAAGAAAGGTATAGTTATTAGCTATATTCTACCACTTTATGAGTCTAAAGTACGAAAGCATCATTAACGTGCTTTCTTCTGACTGCTGGCCAATTTCTAACTGGTAATCTGACAGCAATGTTGAAGTTCCACTGCATAATTTAATCTGCAGCCGAACTTGTCTCATAAGCCTCTTTGTGTCATCTTAATCTATCAATTGAACTGTTCGATACTAGTTCGACGTATGAAGCATAATGAGAATTCACCACTTCGATTAACTTATAGTTAACTTCAGAAAATACTAGGACGAAATTTGGAAAACGTATTTAGGAAACAGTGAAGAGGATCTCAGGACATTGACATCATTTTTGCATTGAACTATTCGATTAACTCGTTTTCCGAATTGATACGACAGTTTAAAAATTCTCAAAGCGTTCTTTATAACAACAAAAAGCACTCCATGACTTTTCCTAGTTGCACTATTTTGCAACGTTATTTTAACCCTTTGCACTCGACGATCTTTTGGCTAAAGATGCGTAGGAGTTCAAAGATTTTTTACTATAAAGCTGGCGATACTTCATTCAGTAATAAATAAGAAATCGTATAATAATTAACACGTAGAATTATTTGATTTCGATAGCTCGCACACCGTTACATTATCTTAAATTTTACATATTAATTAATATCGATCTTCGAAATTTTATCCAATGGCGACTCATGGTTGCCTCTCGAGTGCAAAAGGTTAAACAAATTTTTTGTACAGTTTGCGCTTAAAATTTTTTACAAACTGCATAATTATCGCTGTATTTTTGCTGCTGCAGCGATAATAGGTTTAATCTTTCATTTCAGTTGCTAAGCTCTATCGTGGTGGTGGGTGGGACCAACATGGCTGGCGTGCTGACGCATCATCCTCGAGAACTGGCACAGCGGCAGGCCTTCCTAGAAACTAGACAATGCGTCGAGGCTCGTCTCACCACGCAGAGAGAAAATCAGCAACAGGTACGAACGTGAACCGCTATGGGGATTCCATTTCCACTGACCAGAAACCACTGTTTCCGTCACCGATAAAACTCGCGTGTGAAACCGACCAGCAACTCTCACGAATTCGTCCTCTTACCTACGGTTACTCAAAATGTCAGAGCTAGGGAAATTTACGGTATATTTACTAAATCGTTAATTTACCCAATTTATTATTGTAGAATGGCGAAAACTGGTTTTGAGACACCAAAAACTGACAGAACAGCAAGAACAGAATAACACGAACACAAACTCATAAAACTAATTTAACTTAAGAAAAGAACACCAAGATAACGCAACGAAAACGCACAAAGACGTAATCTAATTTAACTCTCTTTCCAACACCGAGCGACTCACGCTCGTGCTGGTCACAATTAATTTCTAAAGACTCTGTTTTGGTCGCCAAGGACCCTGCTTTTATGCTTTTCTTAACTTACGCTTCAGCTCCCCGTAGGGACCACGCAACTTAATTTTGCCACCCAAAATAACTTTTCCATTTGCTTCCAGAAAATATCGATCGGTTTATAATTTGTTCTTGTTGGCAATGGCCGATTCGCGATTTCTTTCGAAATGGTATCCTACGTTATAATCCTTAATTCCCACCATTTCCAATTTTAATTTCGATCTTATCTATAATAAGTCGTCAATCCCCTTCGTTTCTAAATTTACCTAACTTTAAATTCAGTTAATTTATTAAATTTCGGAATTCATTTTAATTATCGATTTATCTGACTTGCTTGTTTTTAATTAAAAGTTTTAAAGAATTTAAAACGGTTATTTAATCTGAAATCCAATTATTGATTAATAATTCTTATAAAAAGGTTTCTACCATCGTTTTAACATGAGAACATATACAAATTTATTTGTAATAATAAGAAAATTATTTATAGCAAAGTATCGCTTGGAAAGCATTTCGCGATCAAATTTGCCAATGAATTTCATTGCGACCTTTCACTGTTTGTACAAAAATTCGAAAATTGTACACCTTTCTAAGCTTTTAGTCTCCCGAATGCTACATAAAACCTCAATTTCAACCAAGAACGAATTATTTGGGTCCGAATCGATTTTACGCAGCTGCAGTTTGCCAGTGGGAAAAGAGGCATTCACGGTGGAAATTTGAAGAACGATTTTGCCGAAAATGTTTCGGCTATAAAAGGGATCAAAAAATAGGAGGACAGAAATTATATCGATAAACGATATACTTACCAATTTTGTTATTCTATCCAACCCAAACTAACCCTTAATTGCACTTCGGCCATTATCACTTGTCAAATTAAAATTACCAAATTGGAAAATCGGTCAATTACTAGTAACACGTTTTATCACCCAAAATTTAATCACCGTGGTAACGTAACAAAATTCTAATCACTATGGCTGTCCTTTAAATTACCCTACGTACACTCTAGTGATTAATGCACCTCCCTAATTGTTTATTAATATCATCATCAGCCGCGTGTATCAAACTCTCCATGAAATGTGATCGATAAATATTATAATAGGTTTGTTCGCTATTCCAAATACTGTATAACTAATTTACAATTACTACAGCTTACTAATTTTACATTACCTAGTAATTTATCGTTTAATCGATCGAGATGAAGCATACAATGATGAGAAAATGGAAAATAAAAAAATACACTAAAATAAGTTAAAATAGCAGGTGATACAAAAGAATATATTTAGGTTGAAATAGGAACCCAAAATAAATAGTTAAAAATGGAACTTTACGTTCATGTCCCTATGAATTCCCTATAAAATTCTAATATCCCTATTAGAATTTACCAATAACTTAGTAAGAGTCCAAATATCTAGGGGAATTTTAAAAAAATTTCTGCATCGATATTTACAAACCCTAAACATTCAAAGAGTGACCATTAAGAGTTCCAATCATAAAATTCTTGCGATACATTTTCATAAAAATCCACCAAAAATGTGAAACATATCACGTAACATTTGCTCAAAATATTTTCCTAAGAGCTTCAGAGGAATTTTTGGAAATTCTCAAATAAAATTTCTTAAATAAACGAATTCTGGGGATTTGGAAAGTTTTATAGTTTCTATACGAACATTTCCATTGAAAGCTTCAGAAGTCAGAAAGGTAGTGCAAACTGCCTGTTTCTAGTTCTGACAGGAACACCGAATTGGATGAAATTGTACAAATTAAGGGAGAAAGTGATGGGTTTGGAAATTTAGAAGCGTTCGAACAAAGACCAAGGGACCGATCAAAGCAACGCAGAGACCCGTGAGTTGATAAACGAGAGAGCTTGAACAGTGATCGCTATCATGGCATGATGCGGATCCCTGATTAAACCACATAATGGACGTGGTCGCGAGTAGAATGCTCGCTGGAATCATAGGCGATAACCCGGCATTTGCAACAGATTTTCATCGGTTCCTAGCGATTATTATACTCGTTACAAATAGTATAGACAGTCGACTAACTTGCAAATTAAATGTCTGCTTATTTTTTCCACGTTACATCACTTGTTTCCTCAGAAAAGGAGATACATGAGCAAAATATAGGACTGTGTTAATCCACGTTTCCAACTGTGAGATAACTGTCAATTAAGGGTAACTGACAAGAATTTTTCCAACGTATCGCGACCTAGTAAAGTCCCAAATCAAATATACCTTAGTGTGACAGGGAATGGAACAATATCGATGCTTAGAGAGGAATACAGTTATAACACTAGATTACAGGAGATCTAGAAAACTAATTATAGATTCATATTCCAATGTCACTGCCCTAATCAACGATAACGTCTGACACTTCTCGAAAATTAGTATAAAAATTGCAGACACGTGAACCTAAATGGTAGTCTTAATTCAACCAGAACATTGGTTCAATAGATGAAGAGTGGATATCAATTTTATCATCGATTTTGAGAAATATTTTCAGCCCCTGTGTTACGAGGTTGAAGATACAGGTCTGCTGGAAAGGTTCACTATCTACCAGCAGGTCTTAAAGAAAATGTACTTTACTCCTTTCTTCCTCGGTCACCATTCATCGCATCCTAGCTTAGGTGCAAGCTAGAACTGTCTCGTTCCATTGACACGTTGTCCTATCTCATCATCCAACCGAATTCACTGTCTCGAAAGTAACCAGGTCACTCGACACACTGATCGCTCGCGACAGTATCCGACTTGTAAGAAAGAAGGTGCACCCTTATCTCTTACTTTCAAAAGTACTTGCAAAACTGTGTTTCGGGATGAAAGGATCAGCTTTTATCACACCATCATTAGGATTGTTTGCCCTATCGTCTGTCACCCAAGCTCTGAGTAACTTGATGACAGTAAATGGACATCGATGGCTAGTTAATCATCCGATATTATTCCAGACCTGGTAAATGATTTTAATTCCATAAATAATACTCGGAAAACTGTATTTCAGTATGAAAAGACTAGCTTTTATCACACCATCGTCAGAATTTGTGCTCTATCGTCTGTCACACAAGCTCTGAGTAGCCTGATGACAGTGGATTGGTTCCAAAAATATTCGTAAAACTGTATTTCGGTATGAAAAAGACCAGCTTTTATCACACCACCGTCAGTATTGTTTAATCTATCGTTTATCACCCAAGCTCTGAGCAGCCTGATGATAGTAAATGGACATCGATGGCTAGTTCATCATCCTATATTATCCCAGCCCTGGTAAATGATCTTTCGATAACATTCATGTCCAACGAAGTTCGTCAAACTTCGTTTTCTTCTCGTAACACGCCATCGCTATCTAGATGCCAAGGGCTGTCTAATGCACTGCTCTTAGCGTGTCTGATAAACCTTAGGGATAACTGATAAGCTTCGGATTCCACTGAAACGCCGCACTGTCCATTACCGTTCACGCTGGATCATATGCGACCCTGTTGCCACTCACTGGGACACGACCATGGTTAATGCATAATCCCTAACCCCAGAATCCTAATGCCACTCCCACTTTTCTCGATCCAGACAGACGTAACGCAGGATGGACGACAGGGACAGGATGAAGGTGAGACCGACGAATTAGAAAATCAATTCCTCCTGTTTTCGCGAACAGAATTGCATTACACTCTCATTAACGAAATGAAATTTTGTTCACTTGCGATGCAGTTCCATCGGGATTAAATTAAAGCCTCGAACCGGTGAAAGCTTTTCAATGCTGTCAGCTAGAGAAAATAATAACATCGGACCGTTTATCTCGTTCGAGTAGAGAGTTAATTAGGATATTTATTATTTCTCTTTTTCACAGCGATATTATAGGACCGTTTGCAAAACAATCTCAATGGAAGCTCATCTCAATGCAGTTGAAATATTATAATTGATTAAAATACAGATTCGCTTAATTGTTGTCTCTTTCTGAACTTTCAAATCATTCTGTTTTTATTTCGTTATATCGTTGTATCCACAGCAGCCAATTTGCACTCGTTTGCAAGTGTTCGTGAAAACTGTGCACAACTATTATACTCACACATCTACATTGCAATAAATTAACATTCTTTTATTGGGTGGTCAGCAACTGTGATCTTTGAATTATGAAGTTCACAAGAAGTCCTAGACTTTCATAATTATGACGATTCTTGTAAAATGTTTATTCTTAAACTTTCTTTAGCTAATCATCCAAATTATTTGCTAACAGAAGATAAGAATGAATCATCGACATCTAATCAAGGAAAAATTAATCTTCCTCTGGAGCTTATCTCAAAATTCTCAGTCTAAATCCTCAGTCTTACTCAGAAATACCCATACTCATTTTTGACAGCAGTGTTTGAGTTGGTCAAATGCAATGTGCTGAGAAGATAAGTTTAGTTTATATGAAAATCAAATAAGAATTGGAAGTTTAGGCGAACTGCTAACCCTCTTGATACTCTCCCACGAATCGTTATTATATTAATAGTTATTAGTAGAATACTAGTAAAATATTAGTAGTTATTTGTAGAATATGAGTAAAATATTAGTAGTTATTAGTAGAATAGTAGTAAAATATTATTAGTTATTAGTAGAATAATTATTACTAGTAATTATTAGTAGAATAATTATTACTAGTAATTATTAGTGGAATAATTAATAGAATAATAAATTTAGTAAAAAATTAGTAGTTTATCTATTACCTATTTTATCTACTTTTACAATACAATCTCCAAATATTTATAATTGATTACTTCTCTTATATTCTTCTTAAGAAAGAATATCTCTTTCCTGATGAAAACTTGATAACAAAGAATTTAAAAAAAAGATGTAATAAAAATAAAAAATTTTTTCACGACCTAAGTCTAGTTTAACACTTTTATCTTCACCTCCTGATCTATCTCTTCGTCCACGGATTATCTTCTGTTTCCAATGGAGACTGTGCGATATTTAGAATTCGTCGTTATCACCTAACTTTGGTTTCACTTGTTACACGGCAGATGCGCTACATGTCACGGAATCTGAAATTACAGCGACGCTTTTGCAGGCTAATTTTACGCTAGATAAATCGATCTGATCCTGACACGACAGGTTGCACGCACCTGCGTCACGTGCGATCTCAGAGACGTTCGTGATCAGGTGATACAGGCGCTAGTTACAGACTGCCATTTGTTATTGGAAGTCACGTAACACTACGCTTGATTTGATTGTGATGAAGTGTTGATTAGTTTCTCCGCGGTTGCCTTGGCATATTGAACCTTGTGGCTTTCAACAGCGTATCGTCTGGTCGATATCGCGAGACATTTAAAGATCCAACAGAGAAATTTTACTTATAGTTGATCTATTTATTCAGCAATGTCTACTATATCATTATACGAACTGGTCATAGGCCATAATAATTGACTCTGATTTCCGAATTTTAAAAAATTTTAAATATTTAAATTGTAGTGAAGATCGGATTAATAAGTCGAAAGAGATTTTTGATTCTGATTATATTCTATATTTCTTGGCGGTACAAAATATACGGAGGCTCGAAGCCATCTATGATGCGCGGTGCAGACGGTGGACTGTCAAAAGTGTGTCGTCGAATCCTTCAACTAGGTTTTCATAGGCCCTATGACAACCCATTGTGTCACTCAAAGATAGATCTCGATGAAGGGTGACGTCATCCAAATAAAGGTTCCTCTCACAAAATCGTGGTATTTAAAATTAATTTTTGCCTTTTATTTTATGGATTTGGCAAATGTGCAGCTCACCCTAATACCAAGGTATTTTACCTTGCACTGTAATCTAATTATGAAAAATTGTACAACGAAGAAGTATCTAATTTTATTTCACCACTGTGATAAAATTGGATAAAAATTTTAGAAATTCTTCAAATTTTGTGCATATTCAGATATGTTACATACGATTATCTTTACGTGGTAAATATAGCATATAATCGTGAGATTTGGCATGAAGAACTGGGGACGAGTTAAACTCATTGTTGTAGTGCAAAGGAAAGGTTAATTAATTTTCATAATTGGAAAAATTTGAGTTCCAAAGAGTAGGGATAGAAAATAATAAAAATTGACTTTTCTCTATATTTATATAGCAAACAGAAACTACCTATACTTATGTATATCCTGTAAGATATCTCTAAATGGAATTTGAAAAATTTCAAGTAATAAATTTTCATGGAATAAATTAGGACTTGACCATGGTAATTAAAAATTGACACAATTTAGAACTAACGAATATTTTCTGAAAAGACAAGTATAGTATAGTAATTAATACTATGTATGATATTCATCACTCGATATGAGATATAAAATAATTACTGAAATACAATTAATATAGAATAAAATCAGAATTTTTCTACATATTTCGTTCCACGAGTTTAAATATCTCTTAAAATCTCGGCCTTTTAATTTCCTGCAAAAATATTCTTTCACGAACGTCTAATATTTTGTTGCGAGGCCAAAATTAAAGAAAGTACCGACAACGTTACAATTTTATCAGCACATCAAAGCTTTAGAGCATCGTATCGAACGACGAAATAGAATTGCATACCACGGAATCATAAATTCAATCGGTACATGCAAAATTCATGCGAACTGGCGGTCTTGAAATAAAGAAACAGGGAAAATAAGCAGTTAAAACCACCAACGATCACGCAGCTCGTTCGTTTAAGCAAGAAATGGTCTGCTAGCCACATGTTGCTATGGTAAAATTTATAGGAGTATTGTTCCGTGGAATATCAATCGTGAATTAACCGACTGTCGTAATAAAGATTGCCTACGAAACTATTAATCCGAACTAAATCCAACGAAACTTGGTTTTTCGGAAAATACTGAATTTTCCTATTGTAAAAATTCGTGTTATTTTGCACTGTTTATTTACTCGTAAATTGGTATTCGACTTATTCGAGGTAAAATACCATAAACAGAGTCCTATGTTTATTTCAGAAAATTGGAAATTATTGAAATAAAATACTCCAAAATTTATCGAATGGAAAATTAAAAAATAAAAACTTTGTCGTTTGGAAAGTGGAAAATTAAATATAAAATTGAGATGGAACAGAATTGGGAAAATTAAATTATAATTATAGAAAATTAAATTATAGAATTGGAAGATGTAATCAACTGCTGTTATTAAAATTAAAAAACTTTAAATTAAAAAATAAAAAATTTGTCGTTTGGAAAGTGGAAAATTAAATATAAAATTGAGATGGAACAGAATTGGGAAAATTAAATTATATTATAATTATAGAAAATTAAATTATAGAATTGGAAGGTTCAATCAACTGCTGTTATTAGTCCAAGGATTTTAACAACATGTATTTAAGCAAATGACGTCTTGACTGCATGGACTTATCACTCCACCGCAAATTTCCGGTGTAACATGCTTAATGAACCAGCAAATAGAAATACCAATGGGAATTCGGCAAGTGTTGCCTGCTAATACTGGTAGATCCAATTGCCAAAGGAGCTACACTCTGCACACCAATCAAATTACAATACTGAATTCTCGAAATCGAAATTCATTACATTAGAACCTCCACTACAATTTTAAAAAGCTAAACATTCACCAAACCTCAAAATCAACCTCTCAAAATTCAGTAATTAATCAAAAAAGACAATATTCCAAAAAATCAAACCTAAAATATAATATTGGAATTTTGTCCATTTTTACCTTTGGTTACCATGATGACACATGGTATATCTAACATTTAATACATTATGCGCGATTTTATATAATATATCATCAAAATATGTAGAACAGTAATAGAACAAATTAAATAGTAATCATGAATGATAGATGTTACCACTATCTCACGTGTTACACTCTGATCGATGATTACACATCAGTACTAACCAATCATTCATTTCGAATCGTGCCTCTAAGGTGCATATCCTGCATAAAATCAATTATCCAGCATACAAAAATTAATACAAATATTCAAGTGTAAAACTAAAACAATCCAATCCATTCATTTATTTGTATATGTGCAATTAATATTGAGAAACATTTATAATATATTGTTCATCTAATTCATTCAAAAACCACGCGTTATTTCTTGACTTTATCAACCTTATTCCAAGAAAATGGCATATGGTATATTTAACCCTTTGCACTCGATAGGCGCCCTTCAGTCGCCATTTGATAAAATTTCGAAGCTCGATATCCATAAATATGTCAAATTTCAGATAACGTAACGGTGTGCGAGGTATCGAAATCAAATAATTTTACATGTTAATTATCATGCGATTTCTTATTCCTGCTCAGAAAAATATCGTCAGCTTTGTAACAGAAAATCTTCGAACTCCTATCCTTCTTTGGCCAAAATTCGTCGAGTGCAATGGGATAACATTTTTCAAATGCATAGAAATTTATGACCAAATATGGCAGTGGTAAGTATGATAATAAGGAACGATTCAAAGTTCCGCGATTGCGAAGGATATTTCTACGAAGCATACGACACGAAAAATCGCGAATTTGGTGCAATACGAGCAAGCTGCATTTCCCATGCTTTCTCCTCTCCAAATATCTACGTTCAGGCTGTACACAATAGGCAACGACAAATTCTCTGTGAATTTTTTCAGGAACGACTTCTATTGAGCGTGCTACCGCGCCATGTAGCTATGGAAATGAAAGCCGACATCGCAGGGAAGCCGAAGGATACCATGTTTCACAAAATTTACATCCAGAGGCACGAAAACGTTAGGTAAGCATTGCCTGAAAAATGGAAATCGAGTCTCCTCCACTTCCTTCCTTTCGTTGTGAAGGAAGGCTGATCATTAACTATTTCCGCATATATTTTAATAATTCGATATTTTTAAATTCGAATATTTTCAAAATTCATATACGAAGAGAATTTCAAATTTGTAGCTTTTAGGAAGTCGATATTTAATCGAAGTTTACTTAAATATTATTTTTATTTGGACCCAGGAAGAGTCCTGCAAGCGCATTTCACTTTTAAATCAATTAAATTAAATTCAATTAATTTAATTTACTCTTTCGCGAAAAAATAAGCTTATGGATAGAATGAAGATGGACTGATAATAAAGCAATTGAATTAAAAATTCACCAAATTCGAAGCGAAAAGATTTGTAAAGACCAAACTCCTCTGCGATATTTAGACTACTATACAGACTATATGCCATCTTCGACGAATTAAATAATTTACTGGACTCGGTCGAATCAATTGTGTTTAATTATTCACACTATTAAATTCACCTATACATACCAAACATAAAAAGAGACCGCAAAAGTTAATATATACTTATCTTGAATAATCAAGAACATACTGTATTTTCAAAATTTGTATACGAAGAGCGTTTTAGATTTGTAGTTTTCATGAAAAGGTTTTGATATATTCGTTAGCTCTTCGGAGCCAGGTAATCGAAGTTTGTTTAAATATAATTTTTATTTGGACCCAGGAGACAAGCACATTTCACTTTTAAATCAATTAAATTGAATTCAATTAACTTGATTCCCTCTTGCGCGAAAAATAAGCTTAATAAAAATGGACGGACGATGAAACAATTGAATTAAAAATTCACCGAATTCAAAGCGAAAAGATCTGTAAAGATCAAACTCCTGTACGATATTTAGACTACTATATGTCATCTTCGACGAGTTAAATAATTTACTGGACTCGGTCGAATCAATTGTATTTAATTATTTACAGTATTAAACTCACGTACATATTAAACATAAAAAGAGAACACGAAAGTTAATAGATACCTATCTTGAATAATCGAGAATATACAGCATACTCCATCAATCAAACTGCTAGATACCTGAGCTCCATTATGTATCAAGCTCATATACATACATGTCAGACATATGTGTAACACGTATATACTACTCGAGGCTCGTTAAGTCGTGTGACATGCTACTAACGAATTTCAATTAATATCGTGACATAATTACGACCATGACCAGGAAGAGTACACCTGACTAACCGTTTTCTAGCATCCTATTCGCTGACATATGTGGATTCACATCGTTATCGGATCAGTGCACTGCTGAGGAGGTGGTCAGACTGCTGAATAAATTATTTGCCTGGTTAGTATCATGACTATTTCTTCCCTGTATATTTATTTTTATTTGCGTTCTTTGCAATCTTCCATAAAATCTCTTAGCGATGTTTTGTGTATACTGTAGGAAAAGAATAAAGCCCTAAAAGAATGTCAAGAGTGTTTGAGCTTAGAACGAAAGTGACTGCGTGCAAGAGAATCGAATGTAAGGGATGTTTATGACAGAGCCGAATGCAAGTAAAGAATGAAAGCCTAGGAATGCGTCTGAGTGTTTAAGATACCTGACCCACCTATTGAGAAAGAGAACGTGAGTATGAAAGAAGACAGAGTGCAAGATTTAACACGTTAAGTGCCACGCTGGTCCCCAGTCACCGGCGCTAGACTCTCCGTTCAGGCCCGACCGGCCCTCAGGGACCGGCTCAAACTAGAACCAAACGGTGCTAACTTATGATGTTAAATTATTCGCCATCTTTGGATCTAACGTTTGGGAATTCCTGTTATAACAATTGGTGTAATTGGTGTAAATCTCCGAGTAAATCTCCGAGTTTTATGGACACTTTGTCCGCCGCCGGTGGCCCACTTGACGGCCAATTCTGGGCCTGAATGGAACGGCAAGCAAAACGAGTTGGGCACTTAACCTGTTAAATAAGAGTGCAAGAACGCGGAAGAGTCAGTGTATGTTTTAGAGCCAGTCATAGAATTTTTCGAGAGATAGCGTATGAGAGTCAGCCGAGAGTTATTAGCGCTTAGAATAAGTTTTAGTTTAAAATAAATCATTTTTGTATTTACTTCACTGCTTATTCTGTTGCCTACTCAACATTCCTACGATATTTAAAGTCTCTATTTAAAATAAATTTTAAAAATTCTTTCATCGCTATAGTTTCGACACGTTGGCAGCGGAACATCATTGTTTGCGAATCAAACTGCTCGGAGATTGCTACTATTGCGTGTCTGGGCTTCCGGAACCGAGGCCAGATCATGCTCGTTGTTGCGTGGAAATGGGTTTGGACATGATTAGTGCCATTACGTGAGTATTCTGTGCTACTAATTACCAATAGGTTGGATTTTTTTACCAGTTTGCGGCAACTCGATGCGAATCTCGGTTTAATTCAGCGCGTTCGCTGCATGAGTTTCAAATTCCAATCGATATATACTTTTACGATATGCATGTTACCACCGAATCAGATACAGAATGCAAAATGAATAATAAAAGATTCAGAAAAACCTTGGCAAAATTGATAAAGCAAAAGTATGATGAAATAAAGTTTCGTAATACACTGGACGAGTTATATGACTTTCTACCAAATTTACATGTAAATTATACGCACGAAAAAGGAAAAATTGGTCGGCATAAAGAAGAGCAAACAACGTGGTAATTAGATTTTTTCAATTTTTTTATTAAACTATGCTCCTTTTTGCACCGAGCACCTTTCGTTCCGTACGTCTTTTTGTACGACGTATAATTTGCAAATGCGATACACTTTGTGTAAAAATTTTCTACCAACGTATAATATAAGAAATAATATTTAATTAACAGAGAATTATTTACCGAAGAAAGAAAAGAGGAATGAAAGACGATCATAATTAAAAAATAGTAGCTTAAAGAAAATAAAAATTCCTTCATAAAACGCCTTGTACATTTTCAGCTATATAACTTCATAGAACAGTTCATTTATGGTTATTTATAGTAAATGTTGCGTACTTTGTAAGATTTCCCTTTTAAAAATTGAGACTCCATTTTGACATATGTAAATTGGTGTTATACAATTCCCGAAGGTAAGTATGTCGTTTCCGCAAGTACCACTCCGAATGTCGTATTATTCTCAAAGGAAATCATCTCTTTGACGAGACTTGGCGTTTTACAGTCGCAGACCCATAACGAGAATCTCTGTCTCAGGAGTCTACGGTCTGCTTTGACTCGTTTACTTTGTTTCCGGTTCTTAGAACACTTTCCCTAACCTCTTCCTGCGCCGCCATTTCCTATGGGAAGCGACGGAAGCGCCACGGAGCGACGATTCCGTGAAATACAAACCGTTCGTATACTTTGAAACGCCTCGTAGTCACGGAACTAGCCACGAAACCAGAAAATTGACCAACGTTACAATGAAATTAATTGCACCGTAATTTTTTCTTAGTTTCAACACGTGTAAAATCTTTTTTGGCTCTCTGCATACTGCAATTTTTCGCTGAAACACTTTTTCGAAGAAAAATTAATGAACGTACATATTCTCAACTCGCAACTTTTATTAGAGGAAACTAAATGAAATTAAATACGCAAAAATTAAATATCCTCTAGAATAATATATTATTATATCACAAGAATGATGGGTGAAAGATTATGAAAGACAACTAGCATATTATTTTGCTTCTCTCCAATCCGCGAGGAAGATTTAATTTGCATACGTTGGAGGGAATTTTGAATAATTTAAACGGGAATTTTTAAATTCTTAATATATACAAATACAACGATTACTCGACATTCAGTGAATCCCTTTCATTGATAAAAACAAGTTCAAGACATAGGTAGTTGAACAGAAGATAAAGCGTGGAGGGTTCGTTTTTCCATTGTTGGGTCATATATCCCCTCCGACTTGCACGATAATATCTTTCATCAAAGTATAATCGCGATCATCGCTCCCCGGATAATCGATTCTACTTTCACAGCCTCTATCGAGAGGTCGGTGCCGTGAACGTGAACATGAGAGTGGGAATACACACTGGCCGGGTTCATTGCGGGGTCCTCGGCCTGAGGAAGTGGCAATTCGACGTCTGGAGTAATGACGTCACCCTAGCAAACTACATGGAAAGTGGTGGAATACCAGGGTAAGTTTTCCCCGTTTTTCTTTTCCCTTCCGGAAGGAAATTTCCAAGTGGTACTCTGCACTAGAGCGAGCACTGAGACAAAAAATGAGACTCCGACATTCCACGAGACGCATATATTTTTACTCCATCTTTTCCATTCCGTTCCGTGAAAATTTCTGCAAATTTCCGAAATTCAATTCCGCTAGGAAATTCGGATTTACAAAATGAACGCAAAGCTCGAGGAGTCGTTTCGAGGGAAATAACAGGGAAGTATTTTATTTTTAAGGATTTCGAGTTCTTTATGCGTAGTTTCATTTTACCACAAAATCATTACGAAATTCCATACCTGCAAGATATTCTATCTCAGCGAGCTAGAATTACCAGTTACGTTCCACTGCTTGTTTATTCGTTTTCATTGCTAAACGCAAACTCATCCTTCCGGCTGTGTGTTTTTAAAAAAAATATACTCGTGATTAACGTTAATTAGAAACTCGACTGATATAAGTGCGCAATAATCGAGATTTGGAATTGAGTAATATAATTTTTTGTGAGATCACGTCTTGAGTATGGTCTCCTAATTTTATTAAATATAAAATTAGCATAAAAAGAATTCAATATAAATTTCTGAGATTTGCGGCTTATAAATCCGGGCACAGAATAGACTTTAGCGATAACGATTATGAACCAATCTTAACCACTTGCGCTGGAACGTGCCACGCACGTCGTCGTGCTTTTGTCGCAGAATCGCTAACGACGTGGTGTACACGTCGTCAGGCAATTGTCATAGAGACACTGGACCGTTCTGGTACACGCGTTTGTGAATTTCTTGCCAACGCAAGACTAAACCTGAAATCTCTTGAAGCTCGTAGGACGATTTTTCCATCTACTATTCTAATTTAAATTAATCAATGGCGTCATTAACTGTTTTGAGTTACTTTTCTCTATCAACTTTTATTCGCCTGCTATATCACTGAGGTCATTGCGATCATTCCTGCCTTGCAAATATACTTCCAGATACGCCAATATCGACCCTGTATACCGTATTTGCGAACTTGTAGAAAGGACCAGTTTCGAGCTAGATTTCTTCACTGGATTGGTCAATTCTTTTCATAAACCATTATCTAAATATGTCTAATTTATACTGTCACTTCTTCGTTAGTATATGATATGTAACATTTTTAAAAGGTAATGTCCTCTGTATAGAACTTGTTAAATCTACAAATGTACACTAATAGGGCTACCTGTTAATTATATATATAAATAAATAAATAATTAATTCGATACAATTCGAATAATTCTGTGTCAATTTTTCTGTAGACGAGTACATATTACAAAGGAGACCCTAGACTGTCTCGATGGCTTTTACGAGGTGGAAGAGGGTCATGGGGGTGAGAGGAACGCATACCTGAAGGAACACAATATCAAAACGTACCTAATCGTCCCTGGAGATACATTTAAGGGTAACTTACCCTCTTCTGGACTAAGGAAGGGTTTGCCAGCAAATGGGAACGTGTCCAAAGAGATGAGGGTGATGGGCCATGGGTCTCAGCATGGGAAACAGGCTAAGTAATTCAATATTCTTTTTATTTTTCCTCTCCTGCTCTTCTCTTCTTCACAATATTAGGTGAAATTGAATTCGCAGGATTTTTAATCTTGAACTTGGGAACAGGAATTTTTAAAAATTAAAACAGTAATTCATCAGGTACCAAGATTTAGAATTCTAAATTACGTGGACCACTGGTTTAGATATTTTAATAAAAATTACAGATTTTGATGGAATTAAGGAAAGCTTGATTTTATATTTTCGAAATGAATTTTCTTTCATGTCGAACTCTTTGCATCGATTACTGATTCTGTAATAGATTAGGCTTCGGAGAGACGACAGAGACGAAGAAGGATCCTGAGGATGAGGTGAACGAGTACCTGATGAGGGCGATCGATGCCAGAAGTATAGATCGATTAAGAGCAGAATATTGCACTCCTTTTATTTTAACTTTTCGTCTGCCTAATGTCGAAGAAAAGGTAAATCCAGATTCAGTTACATTACTTTGGAAATATCATTTTTAATCGATATAACAAATTTATTTAATTTTCTTCTGTCTGCAATTTTCTTTTCCTTCGCTTCAATTCGTTTTATTTTCTTTCTCAAATTTTCATCAACATCGATTATTTGTTTCTCTAAATCCATATCGTTGAAATCTCTTTTGTATTTATCCTGTCATGCAAATAGAACCGTGGCAAAAATTTAAATCGTATTTTTTGACCATCTGTTACAGTATTCACGCGAAAGGGACAGAATGCTTTCGGCGTATTTCATCTGCTCCGGTTTCGTGTACATGGTGGTCGTGATTGCCATAGCGATCACTCTGCATGGGTAAACAAAACATTTTAGATAAATCATGTATTTTTGCTAAGTCATTGTTTTCCTTCCTTTCAGTGCAATTTTCTCATTCTGTCAATTAAATCAATTTTTGCTAACTCGCAGTTTACTCTGCATATTGATCCAATTGTTCTTCCCAAAATTTCAAGCAATTTAAATAGAACCCTGCCTAATATTAAGATCTCTCACTTTTGGAAAGCTTATTAAAGATATAATTAAAATCGTCAATTTTTCTGAAATTTTCCCCGAGAATATAAAATTAAAAATGCCCCGAATTATGGGACTGAAATTAAAGAGAAATATGCAAATTGGAAATTATTTTTCAGGAGCAGATACTTTTACACGTGCGTAACAGTGAGCACACTGCTAATCGCGATAATCAATGGGATTTTATTAGCAGAGAAGAACGAGGTGAGTTTGTTTCACTGTTGATAGCTAGATATACCAATATCATGTATCATAAACAACTTCTCCATTATTACGAGTGACTGCAGCAAACCACTGCTGCCAATTTACTGTATACTACAGGTAAATACAGTTACTCCACCGCGAATGTGGCATTCGCTATCGATAGCTTCAGCCAACAACTACTGTACTTCTGACATATTTGCTATTGACAACTCTCTTTATACCTCGGGTACTAATAATCGTTCCAGAAAATCTACATATTAGATACTACGATATTTCGTCGATATATTCTTATCCTCGATGTTCATTTCCAATGCGATTATTATACCAACCAAATGCAAACTCTTATCCAACAAACTTCTTCGGAAGAAGATAATACTGTATTTCGAAAGCGGTAACTTAAGCATGACTAAGCAATAACTTTCCAGTATTCGACTGTATATATGCACGAAATCGTTGCAGCATAGTATGCACTTTTCGAGCAGCTATTGCCGTAGCGAAAGGATTAATCAAGCGAATTTCGTGTATTGCGAGCATCTCCAACGCGACCGAATCGATCCGGGAGACTCTTTGGAATCTTGCCACTTCCTCTTAACCTTGAATCCGTGGCGAGATTCCAGGTCAATGCTGAGACCATCGATTGTCTCCGACAAGCATCACTGTCAATGGCATCACTCGTGTCGCTTGTCCAAAACAGACTGCCAAAAGTAGGATTGAAACAGAAAGAAAGATAAAATATTATAATAAGATTAATCCTATGCTGACAGAGATCTGAGCGTATAATAAACAATGGCTCCTCTTTAACACGTTAACACGTTAAGTGCTCAGCTAGTTTTGCTTGCTGTTCCGTTCAGGCCCAGACTCGGCCGTCAAGTGGGCCACCGGCGGTGAGCGAAGTGTTCATAAAACTCGGAGATACTGTACCAATTGTTATAACAGGAATTCCCAAATGTTAGGTCCAAAGATGGCGAAGAATTTGACACCAAAAGTTAGAACCTTCTGGTCCTAGTCTGGGCCGTTTCCTGAGGACCAACCAGGCCCGAACGGAAAGTGTAACGCCGATCCTTGGGGGCCGGCGTGGCACTTAACGTGTTAAATGCCACATCGGTCCCTAGGGACCGGCGCTAAGCTTGCTAGGTTTTCCGTTCAGGCCACGGCGGGCCGTACGGCCCGGAAGGGCCCGCATCATGGCCCCCATGACCGACCACAGACTTTAGGTCACTATTACACAACCGCGCGTGTCGGTCTTTGCGCACTGATTGTGAGACTAAATATTTTGCTTAGGCGATATCGGTTCTTATTCAGTCAAAGTTTAAGAAAAAGAATGCAATATTTTAAAAAAACTTAATGTAATATATTAAAACAGGATAAACAAAGGTGTCTCTACGTCGGTGGCCCACTTAATGGCCGAGTCTGGGTCTGAACGGAACAGCAACCAAGTGAGTTTGGCACTTAACGTGTTAACGTCTTAAACGCTATACCGATTTTACGTGTGGTTCTGTTCACATCACATTTAGCCGTCATGCGGACCCTATCGAACCGTACGGACCGGCGAGGCCCGAACGGAAAGTCTAGCGTCGGTCCCTAGGGAGCGGCATGGCGTTTAACGTGTTAATAGCAAATCAGATTTATTTAACTAAAATATTGAACTAGGTTTCTCTCAACTCTAACTCTCAAACACACGATTCTACTCCTTTCACAACATCTCGACTACACGCAATCTCTCTTCCTTGATCACTCATTTCCCGCGCGACCTCACCCTAGGTGAGGACAGGTACTTCAGACACTTGGACACATTCCTAGACTTGGACACGTTTATTGCTTGCACTCGACCCAGTCATAAATATCTCATTCATGCAATTCTTGCACGTGGTCATCCGTCCGTCCGCATGCACTCTAGATGATACCCTAAACACCTAAGCCGAACCCGATACCGCCCTTAATACTGTTTCCTTTGTTAGAGTCCTACCCAGCTCACAATATCACGATATATTTAAAGGAAAAATTAGAAACTCGATTTTGCAATGGGACGAAAGACTTAGTTCTGATTTCTATTTCCTCAGAAAGTGCCGCAGTGTCTCCGGGATTTCGCTGTGCACGTGTTCGAGAATCGTGGAGTAGCACAGGCCCTGGCCACTTGCGTCGTGTTTCTGACCTTTGCCACAGCTCTGTCGCCGTTGGTAAGCTGACAACATAGTACTACATATTACCAATAACAAGTAGCAACACCTTATTCGTTATATTTTATCAGGCCATGAATTCCAAACACTATACTTTTCGCGTCGCGCATGCTAGGTGGATACCCGTTGCTTATTATTCACACAGTGCACTATCGAATCCTCGTTCCTCGACCATGGTTCCTTGTTCCTCGAAACTGGACACTGATCTCGCAGAAGGCATTGTTATCTCGCAATTCACGAGAATATTCATCAATTATCGATAAACGGAAGACAAGGGACAACTAGTCTCGCTTATCATTCATCATGATGCATCTATACATGCATCAAACCGACTGTCTTCTTCAGCAGTATGAATACTGCTTGGGTATCGAACGAATCCGTGACAAGTCCTGAACAAGTTCCGATCTTACTCTAAACTAGGTGCAAACGAATTGCAAATGTCCTGAATGGGCGCTGAACGACATCGATATTAGTCTCATCTAGTCCCACACTAGCTCCAACCGAATCCCAAACTAGACCTGAACAAGTTTCGAATCAGTTTCGAACTGGTCCCGAACGAGTTCCAAACGAATTTGAAATCGAAGTCAAGACAACGAGAATTGACACACTAACGGCTAAGTGTTAATCTATCCCCGATAAAAAGGAAGAAATCATGAACCAATTACCACCGCTAGGCACTGTCAAACGGAAAAGCTATAAATTTGGATGTCAACTCTAAGCGGCGGATTTAGTTCCAAACAATTTCAGAACCAGTTCTAAACTAGTCCTACATTTGTTCTAGACGAGTTCCAAATGAATCCCAAATTAAACCCGAATAAGTTCCCAATGAATTACGAACTAGTTTCATACAAGAATATCGCACGAACCAGCGCAGGTATACCGGTCTTCGTTAGCATACAGAAGTTTAGCAATGGTGTATATATTATCGGTAATTTCTATCGGAACTTTAGTCTGACAATGACTCGGTTTGGTCTTGTCTCATTATTCCTCGTTTCCCGAGATTTCCTCCGGGGCATACCAACGATAAACTTGGTCTGTAGCTTTGGGACACCCTGTCATCGCAATCATCAACGAACTTTTGCAAACAGCGATCGATGTATCGTCTTGGAGAACACCGTGATCAAGCTTGGTCCGCTTTTTTCTCTGCTTCCAGCTGACGCTCGAGAGTGGACGCGTGTGTGGGAACAGCACGTTTCTGTTGGTCGAGTGGCCGAATAATTCCAGCGTGGTGTTCCAGAGTATCGACACACCCGTCGATGTTTGCTATTACACCGTCTTCGCTGACGTAAGTACGGGATGATCGATTCAATCTGCCTCGCTGCGATGTTCGTTCAATTAACACGGGATTAATTCAAAATGTATGGTCTACTTGTGGATCTTATGCTGCGTTTCCAACACGCGAGGCACGTCAGAATTATTCAAATGCATCTACTACACCCCGTATAGTATCTGCGTATACTGGTAGACGAACTCGATGATCTATCGTAGATCACTGCATGACTCTATTAACCTCGTGCAACCTAGTCGCGACGAATTACAGCGCCGCCCGCTAGCTGTCGCACGGCTTGCCCGCTTAATTGTCGCACAATTTGTATACCCGAATCAGAACAGATTGGAACGGAGAATTACCAAACCTTGTCAAACCGAGTCCGAGTCGACCTATTTTCACAGCGCATACTGTGAGAACATGGCTCGATTCGGCATTTCGACTAGGTTACATGAATATTCATGACACGTTGATTTGCCTTCGTCAAAAATCTTCAATGAACCCACGGTCTCGACAAGTCACGTGCCGTGTGAAGTCTCATTGATTCGTTCACACGCGTTGGCTGCGAGCATTTTTATTTTCTTGCTCCATCAAATGCTGTTAATTTCCACGGTTACAGCTTTTCCCTGTCCTGGTGATGCTAGTCATGATAACCTGTGCCGTCTACCAAATTTTAACGTCGGTGTTCAAAGTGGCCATATTGAGCCTGGTTGTCGCCTGCTACCTCGCTGTTAGCATATACGAAGCCATACACGAGAGGGAAGTGGAACTGACTGGAAAATGGCTAGCAGGGGTTTTAGTGGTGTTCTTCATGGCATGCCTGATCGCGCATTCTCAACACACGGAAGCTACTTACAGGTGACAGATTTTCCTCGATAAGTATTAAAAACGATAACCTACTGGAGATAAGTGTGTCGAGATAAAGTAATTGTTCTTTGTTTTCTTCTTATTTGGAAGATATTAACCCTTTGCGGTCGAGCGCCACATATATGTGTTCGGCAAAAACAACTGATAAATGTGTTCCATGTGAACGCGTTGCTATGGCCCAGAAACACATATGCGCCCGCTGTTGCGGTCCTAGGACCGCACGTCCCAAGTTAAGTGGTGGACCGTTTTATGTCCTTATTGCCAGCGTCGCTATGAACGAAAATCGCGTTTAACACGTTCAGTACCACGTCGGTCCCCAGGGACCGACGCTAGATTTTCCGTTCAGTCCTCGCCGGTCCGTACGGCCCGATAGGGCCCACATGGCGGCTAACTGTGGCGCGAGCGAAACGGCACGTAAAACCGACGTGGTGTTTAAGACGTTAAATGAGCGGTCGTGTAATAGCAACCTAATGTCTGCGGTCGTACATGAGGGCCATCATGCGGGCCCTTCCGGGCCGTCCGGGCCTGAACGAAAAATCTAGCAAACCTAGCATCGGTCCTTAGGGACCGATGTGGCGCTTAACACGTTAAGTGTCATGCCGGTCCCCATGGACCGGCGCTAGACTTCCCATTCAGGCCCGGCCAGCCCTCAGGGACCGGCTCAGACTAGAACCAAACGGTGCTAACTTTTGGTGTTAAATTCTTCGCCATCTTTGGACTTAACATTTGGGAATTCCTGTTATAATAATTGGTGCAATATATTCGAGTTTTATGAACACTTCGCCCACCACCAGTGGCCCACTTGACGGCCGAGTTTGGGCCTGAATGGAACGGCAAGCAAAACGGGCTAGGCACTTAACGTGTTAAGTAGAAATGAGCGCTGGTAGTTTTGAATTACTATCACGGAAGCGGCTCGGGCCCACGTCCGCAAAGGGTTAAAGACATTATAAATGGAGAAACGACTACTGTTAATTAATTATTCTCGACGTACGAATACTCGTAGGCTGGATTTCCTGTGGAAACTTCAAGCAACGGAAGAGAAAGAGGAAATGGAACACCTGAAGGCCTACAACCAAAAATTGCTGGCGAACATACTTCCGGAACACGTGGCAGCTCATTTCCTGTCCACGGTCAATTCGGATGTAAGAAAATAATTAATGAATATCGTTTTTGTGGTATTGTTTTATTCGGAAACTTTGTATCGTTTTTATCAATTCGACAGTTATTTGGCATCACCGTACGTTTAGAGCAGGAAATATTTGTTTAAAACGAACCACTAGCAAATTGTGAAATATAGGCAGCTAGAGTTTTTTTATTAAACGTTTGCATGCAGCAATTAAAAAGAACCATGCAGACATGATCAATAAAAATATTGTTAATAAAACAACATGGGGCCATCGGTATTGATGGAGCACCAGTCGCAAGTGATGGACCTTGGCTCGGATGTTTTACCTGGACCGTTATATTCTCCATCTATCATTTATTTTTATTTTCGCAAAACGTTTTTAATGGAAGGTATCGAATATGCCAGAAACCAGCGAAACCTCACAAAAATTGACAACCGAAGAATTTGAACGTTCCTCCAAAAATCGGTCGAATTGCTAACTAATAAATAACAAATCATAAAAAAGTATAGTACATACGATATTTAATCAAATTTTAATTTTTTCGTAATAAAACGTATCTCGTTAAGGACAATTCGAAATTTACCTAAAAAACGAAATTAAATAACGAAAATTGGGAATTAATTTAAAAGAAAAAAACAACAATTTTACGACCTGAAACGTTGCACCGATATCCCATTAGGATAGATCTATTCGAAAATGAAGTTTCGCAATTTTCCTAATTGGATTACACCGTTTCTCCCCTTATTGTCGACGTTCTTCCATGAAATTAACGATTGCAGGAACTCTATCACGAGCAATGCGATTTCGTTTGCATAATGTTCGCCTCGATACCAAACTTTTCGGAGTTTTACGTGGAGCTCGAGGCGAATAATGAGGGCGTCGAGTGTCTTAGGCTGTTGAACGAGATCATCGCTGATTTCGACGAGCTGCTCGCCGAGGAACCATACAAATACATCGAGAAGATTAAGAGTACCGGTGCTACATACATGGCAGCATCCGGTGAGCATCAGCAGCAGCCTTTTTATGCAGTTGCCTCCTCTTCCGA